TGTTTAGAGAGCTGAAGCCCAAGTTTGCTGTGAGTGCTCACCAGCAGTGGAGTGTTTCAAGTCCAGGAAGCTGTGAACTGAAGCCTCAAGCCGTGCTCGGCTTGGCTCAAGACTCGGACTGCTGAAGAACAGCAGTGAGGAAAAGTGTGGAGCGTGCCCACTTTGACTGTTTGCTGTGCGAAAGCAAACAGGCTTAAATAATTCCCGATCCTATTTTCGAGGTTCCTCATTATAATTATGCTACAAAAGAGCCGGGGCCCAAAACCCTATTCAAATTACTAAGGCCCTTCTCTTACCCCTAAGATGCAGTGCCTCGGAGTGGGAGTCGGTCCATGTCTCAATCCCGTGCAAATGCTGCAGCTGTCCTCAACCAGGGGCAATCAAGCATCTGCCCATCGTGGAAGAAGGATCCGTGCGGAGCTCTGAGCACCCAATGCGAGCCTCCTTAAACCCCAAGGTCCCAGCATCCGGCGAATAATTGTTGACAGGTGCATGGGTGAGAGAGCAAACATCAACTTTCCGAAAACCATGTCCTGTGCAACCCGATAGTTACATCCCCAAGCTCCCTTTGTGTGACCACAGTCCCGTTCGGGCCATGGGTTGCTGCGCCGGGTGCTGAGCGGTTTGCCGGTTTTGCGGCTTGTGTTCACGAGTTGCAGCATCACGATCGGATCGCAGCCTGCAGCGTATTGGTCGTGGATCTTGGGTCGTCATCGTCGTGATCGAGCAAGCCTCACAACCTTAATTGTGGGTGAGTCCTGTGTTCCCAGCAACACAGGTGGCTTGGCCTGTAGTGTCGTAGTAGCCGAACAAAGTTCCGAAATAGTAGCAGGAAGCCCAGTCAATGCAATGACAGGTAACGTGATCGTGGCAACAGTAAGCCAACTCCGGCTTTTTTCGGTTGTTTCTGCTGGCCTCAGTACTCATGTCTGTCTCCGCGGTCATGTATTCAGTGCTCATAGGTACGTAAAATGCCAGCAGAATCCAGGCATTTATGACGTTAGTTCGTATTTCAGCATCCTAAACTTGTTTAGCACTCATAGTCTGCATATTTGATGCTGTTCATGACGAAATCAATGAACCGAAGCCCATGAAAATGAAGCCGAAACCCGACATGGCTTTGAAGAGCTCAAGCTTCAAAGACGTGTCCTTTCGGGCACAAGCACATCTGAACTAGCAGCCCGCAATAGCTACGCCATCAAATCTTGTCTGAACAGCGGCATGATTCCATGTGCCGTCAGCTACAGATGTAGAACTAGCAGGTTCCCCCCAATAAAAGATAGCCTTCGATTTCAAGAGACTCACATAGAGTTTCCAGAGACCTCCAGGCCGTTGCAGCTTCGATCCAACCCTACACCCTAAACCCTAAACCCTAAACCCTCAACCCTAAACCCTCAACCCTAAACCCTCAACCCTACACCCTAAACCCTAAACCCTACACCCTAAACCCTAGACCCGAGACCGTAAGCCGTCCGTCTCAGGCCTATGCCCCAGAGCCGGCAGAGGCCGGACCTGAACCTGCCTTGCTAGGTTTTGCTTGGGCGACGTGGGCTTTCTGAGGTTAAAGTCTTGGGTTTTGTAAAACAATGAATGTAGTTGTTTGTTTGTTGTTGAATTGGTGGTAGGACGTGTAAGCCCCAAACCGTCCTGAGTTTGGGGCTGAAGGGCTCCATTCAGGTCCTTGGGACTTGGGAAGTTCGCTCTGTAGAAGGACCTTCACAAATCGTAAACACCGACGTCCGAATGAGCAGCTTTGTGCATGGTCGGATTCCCGGCCTCTGGCGTCTCCGCGAAGTCGGGCAACCCTAAACCCTAAACCCTAAACAATAAACCCTAAACCCTAAAGGGCGGTCGACTTCCAGGCTTGGCGCTATCAGGTTTCAGATCCCCTAGAGTCTAGAGTCTGTTCATACTTGGAGGCCCAGGGACTTAGTAAGTGGGTTATAAGTAGAGCTACAAGTACCCTAAACAGAGTTACCCTAATTACAACCCTACTTATAACCGACTTACTAAGTCCGCTGGGCCTCCAAGTAGGCCGCTAAGTAGTTCCTTTTTGGCGTTTTGGGATTACCTTATAGGGTTCTACATATAAACCAGAAAAAAGGAAACTACTTACGGGCCTATGGCTGGAGCTCGACCAACTCCAGAAGAAGGTCCGGGCCAGAATCAGGAGTTCTGATTCAACAGGTTTAGGGTTTTGGGTTTAGGGTATTAGGGTTTAGGGTTTAGGGTTCATCAAACCTTCACCCACAACCAGCGTTCGAAAATCGCCGAGACCGTAAATTGCAAAGTACGGAAAGGTTCGGATCCCAGGTCCTACGGTTGATGATCAAAATCCTGCATTACCCATAATAAAGAATATACCATAATTCCCATAGTTTAGGGTCCTTAAGGTAATGCAGGATTTATATCATCAACAGTAGCCCTACAGCGCACGTGGAAAGCCATGCCTACTCAGGTAGGGGTTTGCGTTCTTTGTTGCTGTGGATTGGGGGTTCATGGATGAGGGGGCTATGTTTAGATTGGGTCCCTTTAGAGTCCTTGATAGGAGTTGTTTGTTTCAGAGCTTCTGTTGGTTCTTGGGGGGCACAGGTGGAGTGTCTTGTTCGTTTTTTTCCTCTGGTTTTCGGTTGAGGGGTTACCACATGCAAAGTAGCAGACTGCAGAGATATTATGCATTTCCATGCTAGAACCTCCAAACTCGGCACTTATCAAAGCCCTGAGCCCGGAGCCCTAAACCCAAAACCGGATCCTGGAGGTTGCGAAAGCCCAGACCTTTGCTTCCAGCAGCCGCCCCACACTGCTCTCCGGGCGACGATTCCGGGCTCCTGCGCGCAAAGTCCGCGCAGAGGAGGTGGGAGTATGGGCCCAGCATCATCCCTAGGCCCTTCCTGCCCCCTGAAGAACCTGTTGCGGGTGTGGATATGAGGTTTCGAGTTTAGTCTTGAAGGTTGAGCGGTTTGGGTTTGGGTTTGGGGTCTCTAGGTATTTTTTGAGCTCCGAAACAGATTCGGGCATCTGCTTCGAATCCGTCAAACCCCAGATCCCACCCTGTGACGGAATGTTCGGAATGAAGGTCCCATCTGGGATGTGA